GTGATGTGTGGAGTTGGACCTGAGTCTGCTTGTTCTGTTCCTTCTAAGAGCTCGCACTGGTAGGGCAGGGCAGGGGGGGCCTGAGCCACTAGTAAGAAAAACACTCGGGAGGATGCTGTGAGCCATGTGGAGCTGTACCCTCACTTTGCTGGAGCAGGTTTAATACAGAATTATTACCAAGCTGATCAGAGGCATGGGGGCTCTGTGCCCTCACAGATGGCAGAGATGAGGGCAGAGTGAGAGCAGGGCTGCCCATTTCACATGGGGTCCAGGGTTTGGAGAGCTTCAACCTGCTTTCCTTAGCTGTTACTAGAAACAAGTCATGGACAACTGTTATTTTCATTTAGGCAATGCTACAGGATAAGCACTGTCTTTGGGAGCTGTAATTATTAAGCCTGGCTGGTATAAAGGCTTTAACCCCAGTGAGCTGCTGTTGGGTGTGTAGCCATACCAGACTAAGCCTGAGATGGTGCAAGGAAAGACCAGTATTACAGGTAGTATTTTAGGGTTTAAGAAAAATATTGTTGCACTTCTGTGTAGCTTGAAGAGCCTGTTTTATTCAAAGGCTTTTAAATGGTCACAGTTCCTAGCTGTCTGCTGATGCTGAGTCTTGCCTTGGAGCACTGAGAGACCCAGAGGAGGTTCATGAGCCCATTGCTGCCCAGCAGCCTGAAACATCTGAGCTTTGTGCCTGAGAGCTAACATGAGACACAAGCCCAGCCCCCTTCCTGAATTTCCCTTGAAGCACACCATCCCCTCATCCCTGCTCCTTCCTGCTCTAAGCACTCTCTTCCTTGTTCCTCCTCTTAACTAGTGGTTTATGTGGAAATTAGAAACTCTGTGAACATACCTCTCCTCGTTAGAGGCTTTCACTTCTTGTCCTGCCTGTCAAGCACCAGGGGACATGGCCTCTCCTGCACACAGCTGCTGAAAAACACAGGGAGGAATGACGGGGCTGCAGCAATGCTAGAGCATGGCATGGGGAGCTGTGGCTCTTGGATTTGTGCTGTCCTGTGGTAACTGCAGTTTCTGATGTTGGACCTGGCTTGTTCCAAGTGCAGAAGTGGCCCTTGGCAGTGGGAAGGGGCTGCCAGGAGGTGGGACAGTGGGTATGGTGCAGAGAGCCACCAGCAGCCATGTGGCCCCAGGGCTGTGTGATGTTATACCTGCCATAGCATGGTCCTCAGGGACATGGTGCTACTTAGTAAGGCAGCACAGCTTCCAGCTGTGCTGTTACATTATTGCTTTCCAGATGCTCTGTGTACACCAAGTCAATGGTTAATGTTAATTTTCCATAGTGAGATATCTTTGGTTTTTTCATTTTCATTGCTAGCATTGAAATTAACGCCCCCCCCCCAACCTTTTAGGTCCTTTTGTGCAGACTAGCCCTGAAGGGATGGAAAAGGGCTTTGGGAAGCTGAGTTAAGCAGTCAGAAGCTCACCAGGCAGGAGGAGTTGTCTTTGAGCTTATCCAATGCTGAGCACTTCCCACCCTGCAGATGTTTGTGCAGAGTGCTCAGGCAGTGTGGAATCAGAGTTGTGCCTGAGCTGGAAGTTGCAGTGCTGCAAGGAAGCGGGGGTGGATGTGGGATGGAGAAGGCTCTGTGGAAGTAGAGACAAGCTCCTGTGGTAGAGAAACCCTCCTCTGTTTTAGAGGGGACGTGAGCATGAATGTGTGTTCATAGACAGGTCCATCCTGGTCCCTGATGAGCCACCAGCTGAGCCTTTTCTCTGTTGCTAACTGAGCACTGGAGGTGGGTGCTCCTGCCTTTCCTTGCCTCCCTGTCCTGCTGTGTTGGATGTCCTGGAGGGACTCCCTTATACCAAAACAAGGTGCAAAGGGCAGCTCTGACACTTGTGGAGAGGGAGGGTGCTGCAGCATAAGGTCAGGCACATGTGGATGGTGTCCTGTTTAGCCAGGATGTTCCTCCTGCCTTCCTGGTGGCATCTGCCCATGTACTTGCTCAGCTATCACCGTTCCCAGCAGTTACCCCACTGTGCCAGAGGTGCAGGCAGCTGCCTGGGCTGAGGCGAGCAGCCTGTGTGGGAGCAGTGCTCTCTTGAGGCACAGCTTGGCTGCAAATACCACAGCTCATTACTTGGTGAGTTTCCAGAAATTTATGTTTCTGGAATAAAGATACTTTATGTAAATCTTGGTTTCAGTTTAAAAAACAAAGTAAGTAACTGCTTGGCTGGGGGATAATGGCAGCACAAACCAGAATGCAGCCTGAAGAT